GGTAGAACTGGCGACCCATGTACCGAGGCTGAGTCCTTGCTGCACCGGCCCAGGGTGCGAATCCGACCTGCGGTCCAACTTGCACAGGTGTAATGTGGAAACTTGTATTCTGAATTTAAACTTTTGAAATGAACACAATTTTGTTTTCCATGTTTGTGTGTGTTTAAGCCAGATTTAAAAGACATATCCATTAATGGTTAGGGCATTATTTTGCAAATGCATTTTCAGACAAGAAACTACTGAGCACAACACTGAATAACTCCAATATTGGGAGTACAAATGCATTCCTTTACAGTTACATATCCTGTATTACACCACTTAGAGTTCACACAGCAAGGCCTCCTCCTCTCTTCTTATTACCTCTCTTCTTTCCCTGTCCACACATGCTAGAGCAGGTAGGCTGTCCTGTATGTTGCCATTCAGCCATGTCTCCATAAAGCAAAGCAAACTGCTCTCTTTGTAGGCACACTGGCTCCTCACCAGGGTAGTAAGTTCATCCGCTTTGTTGATGATGTGACTATACGTATATATATATGTCTATTTGATATTTTAACCATCTTCATCTTTTTAACATAGATTCTCTTTGCCAAGGAGTTTTTGAAGCATCTTTGCCTGTTGTGTCTCTATGTGATCAGTCCCTGAGAGTACAGTGGGTTTACGAAACAGGATAAAAGGCAGCATAAAGCTGTGGGGAGCTGCAGAGTTTCTGAGAGACACCTCACATTACACATATAGCCATTTGATTGTTGACATAAAAAACTGACAGTTCAGGTTTAACAAATGAGGACAACTAAGAATACTGGATTCATGTTTGCATAAAGGTGTTATTACTGTAACCTTGTGTCTATAGCTGCAGTGCAACCAAACAAATGCTGAAAGCAAAGGATGAAGAGATCAGAGTGTTTGAAATGGAAATTAACTAGATGGAAGCAGGGAACAAACAGTGTGGCATGATGGGTAAGCAGGCTCTGATTTGAGAACAGATTAAACCTCATACCTTTTTATTTCCTGGATGCAGTACCTCTTAATAGATACTGCCTCCTGTGATATTCTGTGTTGAGCATTACAGCTTTACAGCACTGCACACACACACACA